AAAAAAAAAAAAAAAAAAAAGAAAAAAAAACTTTTCAGCTCATTCATTCGTCGTAAAAATACACAGATATACATTCTATTTCAGTGTTAGGCTATGCCTACAGAATCAAAAACCATATTTTTTAGCGAATCTGAAGCATTTCTTGGTGCTGATGGTACAAGTGCTGGAATTTTTGGACATGATGATGAAGAGGAAGAGAGTAAACCGATGACCAGACAGGTTTTGCTGGATAAAATACGGCAGAAAAAAGAGGTCATCGGTAAATTACGATGCCAACCATGGAGTATGTCCAGGAAACGAAGAACTCTGAGGTTTGCTTCTCTTTTTTTTTATTGCTTTGCAGTATTCCTTACGACTATATCAACTACAGATTTTTGTACAATCACAACGATAACCAATGCAGTAAAAGTGCTTTTTTTGCAGTTTTTAAAAAGTAATTAATCTAAGCTGATTTAAAGCACTTGAATTCTGTTTATTCTTTCCCCTTTCATAAATCTAAAAAGTGAAATATTTAGGATAACGACAGAATTAAGTTGTGCTAAAACAGCTTATTTGATACGGCTTTTCTTGTTCAACAAAGATGTGTTTGTCGTTTGAAATGTCTTCTAACTGTTGCTAAGTTTGGATCTGTTACAGGTTAGCACAGAAGTATCTTGAACAACATGAATCACGGGTATCTAAAACTCACTTATTTAAAGAAGACGTCAAAAAGCGTTGGCATGCAATTTGTCGTTGGGCGGATAATATAAAGATCTATTTGATACCATGGGAGGCCAAGATCAAAACTATTGAAAGTATGCTTCCCTTTTTTTCTTTTTTTTTTTACTTTTACTGAAGTATAAAATAGAAAATTACTTTTATTTCTGGTTAATCAAACTAGTATTTAATTTTTCACTTGCTTTTACAGCTATTTTTAGGTCACTTTGGATCTGTTGTTTCCTCATATTTTACCTTTCTTCGTTGGGTTATATTTGTAAATTTGGTTATTAGTTTAATTGTTGTTTCATTCGTCGTCATTCCTGAGGTAAAACTTGGTTTTGCTTTTGAAAAATCAGTTTTTTGCTCATCTCTTAAACAGTCTGTTGTTTCTGGCTTTCTGGTGAAAACCATTATTCCAAGTTTCCTTATTTTTGCCTTGTTTTGTTACTATATTCATTGTTGAAAAACTAGAAAAAACTGTTTTAACACTTTTTATGCGTCTAATTTTCACACTACTTTTACGTCAAAAATTTTTTTTTTTTTTTTGACTAATGACTAGAATTATATATTAAAATAGTTTAGTATAAAAAAAAAAACAAATAGCGTAATAGAAAAAACTCATCAATCGATTATATTTAAAAAATAAAACTGTTTTTTCTTTTCTCTGATTTTTCACAAAGTTTAAAATTTTCAAAAATATTTTTGCTGTTTATAATAGTTTGATCACATTTACCTTAACAAAATTGTACAGATTTTTATTCTTATTCTTATTATTTCTTCTGCTAAAAGAACAGAATAATAAGTTTAAAAAAAAAAACAACATCGATTGAGTTGGCAATAATATATCGGATTAGGTATTAGCAGACGCAGCTGCTGATGAGGGTCGAAAAAACAGGACTGAAACCCGAAAACGAATACCGGAATCAGTTCGCGAAGTTGCTGACAGTTTTATTGTCGTTTGGGAATATAATGTT